ATTTATGTATGTCATTAAAAATTCTTTGAAAATAATGTCAATGGCTACATTATATTCTATCACATTCCATAAATGATTTAATAATTTTACTATAATTGGATTAGTATGAAGGTTGTATCTACTATTTCACTATTGACTACAATAAATGTGTACCCTTCTATATATAGGATTGTGTCTCTGATCATCTCTAGTAGTAGGATTACAGGGTCAACCAGTTGGGCATGCACCTTTTCATGGCTCTTGATACATGCTGCCTGGATATTTTCTAGGGAGGCTGTGCCAATGTAAATTTCCACCGTTAGAGGTATTTAAAATAATTATATAAAATGATTAAGGAAATACTAAAGTATACTCTAGTTTAGAAGATTAAAATAAAAAGCCATTCTCACTACACAGTAGATTGAATAGTTAGCTAAGAAATACCTATAGACATGTAGGGTAAAGAAGACCGTAAGCACATCTATCTTAGTAAGATGATAGGTGTGATGGGTTTGATTTGCTATTTTAAACCTAATAGATCCATACATTTCATGTTTTACTCATGTAGAATTTTTCTAAGTTGTATGATTTGGATATATTGACTCTTTTCCTTAGTCTCAAGGAATCTTTTAGTTTGAATTATTGGTCAATTGTATGAATTACTGGGCAATTCATACAAATCAATACAGTTTTCATCTTAAGTACGTTACTCATACAACAAGAATTTTCTATATGCTTAAAGCAACTGGACAATAGTTCTTAAAGAGCACTATTTCTTTCTATTGCCTCCTCTATTCTACTTCTTTAATCATCATGAGATAATGAATGCTATTAATCTTCTTCCAAATATAATTTCTATATTATCTGATCTTATTCTAATAATCAAATGCCCACATGACTAGTTTGATTACAATACCTGCTGGACTAGGCATGATGGGTGTTCCTGGTGGCCCTCCACCTCCTGGAGGACCCTAAATAATTATATAAAATTTCAGTGTAAGTAAGGCATTTCATTAAACAATATAAGAAAAAAACAAAAGGTTAAGACTTATCTCTATAATCCACTTTGAAAATAAC